GAGTGGCTGGTGGGTTTGAACCACCAGCCTTCTGGTTATCAGTCAAGTGCCTTAGGCACTATGCTACCAGAGCTCCTTTGGTTGAGGGTATTGGTATTTAATTTGATGTTGGAAATTAGGCACTGCTTCTGAAAACTCCCTTGTTTTTAGGGAATGGAATTACACAGGGAAAAATAATGAATAGAGCCAAATGATTTCTTTCCACAGCCTAGATGTCCATTCTTCTCTGCATGGCCTCTCTGATAGTATTTACTAGGATAAATAATAGGCAGGTATGCCAGTAGCTAACCATCTCTTCACTGTGAGTATCTATGATTAAGCCTGAATGTCATGTTTTGTGTGGGTACATTTGACAGTATTTACATGTAAGTGAGCATAATCAATTCCCCAGTCTCAGTTTATCCCTTCAATATTGTTGTGCCGCAGAGTCTGGTCTACTGCATGGTTTCTTGGGTGGCTGTATCAGCTCTTAAGCCTTCAAAGAATTACACTTGAGTACTTTCTGATGCTTCTCAGGTTTTGTCTCTAGTCTAACCTTTTTCCCTGAGCATCAAGCCCTTGTAATCTTTTTCCATTTTGCGTAAGAGTCTCTACTGAATATATCGGGAGCTCTGGTGGCATAGTGCCTAGGGCATCTGACTGCTCACCAGGAAGGCTGGCGGTTCAAACCCACCAGCCACTCCTCGGAAGGAAGGTTGGCAATCTACTTCCGTAGAGATACTGCCTTGGAAACCCAAGGAGGGGTTGCTATGAGTCGGGTCTGACTCGACGGCACATGACAACAACAACTGAATATATCCATTGTTAGTGTCTAACAGCTTATGCAGTGATTCTCCATCTTATCTGCATATTGGAATTGCCAGGTGAGCTTTGAAAAATACAGCAGCCTAGGTCTCACTCCCAGATCTTCTCATTTAATGGCCTGGGCAAGGAAAATTTTTAAAAGTTGCTCATTTGACTTTAATGTTCAGTCAAGGTTCAGAACTAGTGAATTAATGGTATCACCATCCAGCATTCAGCTAGAGCAGGTGCTGGCAAACTACAGCCCATGGGCCAGACGTGACCTACCACCCGTGTGGGTGAAGTTTTATTGGAAAACAACCACACACCTTTTTCTGGCTGCTTTTGTGCTACAGTGGCGAAGTTGAATCGTTGCCACAGTGACGTTTATCGTGCATAAAACTTCAAATATTTACTCTCTGGCCTTTTAGAGAAAAGGTTTACCAACTTGCCCTTATACTTCATTCCCATATTGTTACTCTTGGCCTCAACATCTAACACGTCACCAAAATCTACTTGTTTTGTCGTTGTGTTTTGGTACAGGAATATTTTGTATCCATCCCCCACTTTCATTTCTACTGTTTTTATCTGGTACAACCCCTGATCGTTTCTCACCTGTGTACTGCTACAGCTTCCTGGCTTATCTCTCTTTCTCCAGTCTGTTCTCCTCACTGCAGTAAGCATGATTGTTTGAAAGAACACAGATATAATCAGGTCATTCCCTTTTTTAAAAACCTGCAGTGTCTCCCTATAATTTCCTGGGTAAATCCTACATCTTTCTTGATGAAGCTCCAGCTTAACCATGTAGCCTTATCTCACAAGTTGCCCATCCTTTCAGTTTACTCTCCAGTAATACAGAACTGCTCAAGAGTTTTTGGGCTCATCCTTCTATTTATTATTTCTGTGGCTTTGTTCCTGTTGTACCCTCTTTTTAGAATGTTGTTCCCTTCTTTCTTTTTCTGGTAAACACTACTGAACCTTAATTAGTTGACTCAGTTTTTATTCTCAGGAAATCAACCTTAATTGCCTTTCTCTCCCACCATTCCCCATCCCCCCAAGTGCTTCTTATGTGTGCCTCATAAAGTGCTGTGTGTAGCTGTCATTGTGCTGAGAACACTATATAACTTGTATATATTTATCTCTTTTCTTCGCAGACTGAGAGATCGTAGAGTGGATATTTTACTAAACTTTAATACTCTCTGCCTAGCACAGTGCCCAACATAATAGCTAGTCAGTAAATACTTACTAAATGTACCATTTTGTGTCTGTAATTTGTTTTTAATGTGTATGATGAACACATTATTAAAACCACCATTTTGACATTTAACTTTAAATATACATATACGTGGTATGTATATATATACAAGGGTAATGTCAAGATGTTTGTACTTGGTAGTAGAACAATCATTTAAAAATCATGGACCATTGAGCATTGTTTTATGCAAGGAAATTCTTTTTAATTATATGTAAGCTTATATTAGACACACATAATTTTCCAGGTGACTTTCTTACTTGGGGTGATGGAGTTTTTGCATGCTTCCATATACATGTCTCAGATTATGCACACATCATTGCTATCTGTTTCTCATCAGGATTTATCTAAACATGTGGATGGATCCTTTTTAAAGAAATTTTAAAAGATTTTTCATTTGTGATATTTAAAAGAAGTACATTTCTGGGAAAATATTTGATGTGAATAGATCAGTGCTTCTCAAATTATAAAGTGCTTACAAATCACATGGGGATCTTTTTGAAATGCAAAATCTGATTTAGTAAATCTTGGGTGGGGCCTGAGATTCTGCATTTCTAACAGGCACTTGATGCTGATGCTGGTGGTTCACTGACTACATGTTGAATAGCAAGGTGCTAGAGGGTATATTTCAAATTCTTCCTTTAGCAGTTGATCCCAAGCAAGTTTCAGTTTTCCTTTTCTATGTTTAAATCATCATTCGTATTTTAATTTCATCTTTCATCTTTTTATTTTTGTATTTTAGCAAGACAGTGATAATGCTAATATGTCACCACACTCTCCAGTATCATCTGAGGTACAAGTTCTGTTTTTATATGTGTGTATATGTAGGTTTCTTCCCTTCCTCTTGTCTTTGACCTCATCTTTTTTTTTTTTGGACAATGTAATTTATTCACTCATATTTTAAAAATTATGGTAGGTTAGTTTGTACCAACTTTGTAGTCTATAGAAAATTCTAAGAACACTTATCTTTTTGTATAAATAATAATAAATTCTACTCGTTCATTTAGGAATTACTTGTTAGAAAACGCATATTGAATACAAAACAATTCGCTTTCTAAAATGTGTGTTTTCTAATTCATCCATATTTTGAAATAAATGATAGCTTTTAAGAACAACTTTTAAATTGGAGAAAAGTAATTCAGCATTGTGCAATGGCCTTTGGTTTCTCTTGTAACCAATTAGGCATGAAAGCAATGCAAAAGAAATTTCCTTTTTCCACGAGAAACATCCCTGCTGTGGGTTGTTCCTATCGACAAGAGGGTACACATTTCCTGGAAATACAGACCTGTTGGGGGGGGCATGGGGAGATGGGAGTCAAAAAGTTAAATTTTGTGACATCTCAATGCAATGCTTTTGTGGTTTACATGCCTAGTGGTTGTCATTTAGTTCAACATAACAGCTTTATAACAAGAGATACATATAAAGTATTCTAAACAGTATTTTTACTACTTCAGATTACCTTATTTAATATTCTGAAATTGTATTGGTTTTAGTAAATAAATGATTATGTGTTTACTTTGTGAATTAAGGACTTTAGTTACAAATTTGGTTGATCAAAATTCACTTTATAAATTAATTTAAAGAGTATTTAATTTTATATAGAGGTGGTTACTTTTATTAAAAGTCAGATTTGCTTGTATATTGTTTTGGGTGAATTGCTTTTGTTTATGTGATTATAAAACTTGTAAATGGACTTGAGCATTCGTGTAGTAAACATGTTTCTGAATTATTTATATGGATGCAAAGGGTGTAAGTTTTTTTTTAGGAAGTAATTTAAATTAGGATATCGTAAAAATTATTCTCACATGTTTTTGTAAATCCTTTATTTTACTTTTCAGTTATAACAAATGTATGCATGTGACTACTTATTTTCCTAGTTGCTTTATTATTTAATTATCTTTGCTCACAGGTGAGAATGCTAATGCTAGTTTTATCAAGTAAATAGTGGTTTTATAATACATATTGCCTGCATTTGGATAAGTGCAAGTTTAGTCTAGGAATTGATAACCCTTTAACCAAAATAAAGAAGACACACTGTGAAGCTGGCAGACAGATAGGGTGGTGAGCATGTGTTTTGGTAGCTGTTCAACCTGAACTGCATATTACATGTTAAGCAACAAAAGATTCAGAGAATGAACAGAAATTCTATTGCTTTAATTTTGCCTGTAAAAGGAAAATGGTAAAGACAGTTACTGTGGTGCTATGCAGGTAACAAAGTGCTTGCCTGTACGTTTGAACCTAAAACTAATTCCATAAGCTAGGTATGAGCCTCTTCATTTTATAGCTGAAGAAACTGATAACGTTCCCAAAGATCCCAGTCAGTAAATAGCAGAGCAATGATTGAAGCCCACCTAAAACAGAAAAACCAAAACCACTTCCATCAAGTTGATGCAGACTCATAGCAAACCCAGAGAACAGAGTAGAACTGCCCCATAGGGTTTCCAAGGCTGTAATCTTTATGGAAGTAGATTGCCACACTCTTCTCCTGCAGAGTGGCTGGTAGGTTCAACCCTCTGACCTTTTGGTTAGCAGCCAAGTGCTTAATCACTGGGCCCTATCTATTACACAGAGGTTTTTTTTTTTTTAATTGTGATTTGGGTGAAGATTTACAGAGCAAATTCACTTTCCATACAGCAGTTCACATACACTTTGTCTCCTGTCATTGACCACAGTTTACCACAATGCAACAGCTCCCCTCCCACTTCCTCCCCATAGTTACCTCTTCCCAGTATCCATCCCTCCATACTCCCTGACGCCTGAGCTATCTCCCTGTGCATAAGCAGCCCTTCCTTCTCTCATGATTGTTCTCTCCAGGGCATGTGTCTACTTGAGGTAAATGTTTAACTCACATGCCTGTACTTTGTTTGGCTGGAAACCACAGGTGTGGGTTCAATTCCAGACCTGAAGGGCAGCTCGGGGCCGTAGTTCCACCAGGCTCCACTGGACCAGCAAACCTGGTCCCAACCATCTTTTATTTTTTTTTCCCCTCCAAATGATTTTGAGTTTTACACAGAGTTTTTTGCACAAATTAAGATGCTACTAGAGAGCTCTGGGAGCGTAGTGCCTAAGGTACTTGACTGCTAACCAGAAGGCTGGCGGTTCAAACCCGTTAGCCACTCCTTGGAAGGAAGACTGGGCAATCTCCTTCCGTAGGGATATACCACTTCAGAAACCCAAGGAGGGGTCGCTGTGAGTTGGGATGGCACATAACAACAACAACCACAGAGAGCTCTGGTGGCATAATGGGTGAGTCATTCGGCTGCTAACCAGAAGGTCGGTAGTTCAAACTCACCAGCTGCTCAGTGGGAGGAAGATGAGGCGATGTATTTCTGTAATGATTTATAGCCTTGGAAAACCAGTGGGGTCAGTATGAGTCTGAATCTACTTGATAGCAGTGAGTTTAAGATTCCATTATTTTAGCACCTTGTAGTTTACAAAGTGGTTTTGGTATCTCTTTATGCTTCACAACAACCTCGTTTGAAAGATGAAGAAACAGTCAACAGAAAATAAATGTTTAGCCCAAGACTTTAAATTTCCTGAGAAAATAAATGTTTAGCCCAAGACTTTAAATTTCCTGACTCCAAGTTCAGTTGTTTTTTAATATACCACCATTTTTCCCTCTGCACTTCAGTCTATGTGAAAGCACTTTGAAGCATTGTGCATTCAAATAGAAGAGATAATAATTTGTCATTTATCTCTCTGCAGCCTCTGTTAGTGCCAATATGTAGATTTCCTCATATTATCCACTATGTGTCATGGTCATAGTAGATACTGAGTTAATGTTGCTATATTCACTTACCTTTTCATTGGAGCTTACTTTTTGGAAGACTTTCATCTAGTTGATCTTTTAGAAAATAGTATCTATTTTATGCACTGGAATGATGATTTTCTTTTTCATGTTCCTTATTCTAGGAGAGCCTATAGTCAGGGGAATTAACGAATATTTATAGACTTTTTAGAATTGAAATGTGTTAACTTGAATCAAAATCCAAGTTACCTTTCTACTAATCATGGGAAAAAAAAGTACTTTGCACAATTGGAATGGATAAGAATAACTACCTTGATTATTTTGAAACAAAAAGAAAAGTTTTATTTGTTTTCTGTTTTTAGGAATATGACAGAACTGATGGTTTTTCACCTGGTCCCTTTGGCTTGAAGCCTAGATCAGGTAAATACACCTTCTGTAAATAAAATTTATTGGTTATGTAGTGAAACTAATTTCCCAGTTAAATGGGATTGATTCCATAGTTTTAAGTACACATGGATTCTTTCCCCTCTCCAAAAAATTAATTTTCTCTTAACCTTATTTGTCTTTCCAATTCCCGTTCCCCATTTCTTTCTTCCTCTTTACCTTCAAGCTCCTGAAACCTCAGCTTTTTGCCTTAGATATACTGCAGTCTTATTTCTACTCCACTGTGACTGCTCTTAGAATGACCACCTTGCCAGCAGACCAAACACTGTTTGAAATTATAGCACTCCATTATATTGTGGTTTTAAAAAGGGAACTTTTCGCATTTGGCAAGCCCAAAAGAAAATGGATCCATGGTACTTAGCAAGGTATTGAATTATAGTTTTTATTCCTGAATGACTATATTGACCTTCAAGAATAATTTCATTTTTCTTTAGAGATAATAAAAGAATGAATTATGTTCAATTATCATTTTTAATCTGGCTCATAATTTTCTAATAGCTTATGTTTAAATAAGAGCATATATAAATGGTAGAAATCATTACATTTTTCTTCCCTGTTGCTTTCAGTTATTCAAATGAGTTCAAATAATTCTGTAAAAAGTACTTTCGAGTGTATTAATAAGTGGTAATAGTGCCTTATGTAGTTTTCTACTGCTGTTTTTTATCATACCTCTTTCCCCATTGGTGGTTGCTCCACTGTTAGCTTTGCAATAAGTGTGGGAATTTCTGTTTTTAAAGCTTTTAGCCGCTCATCTCGCCAGGAATATGGAGCAGCAGATCCTGGATTTACAATGAGAAGAAAGATGGAGCATTTACGGGAAGAAAGAGAGCAAATACGACAACTTCGAAATGTAAGCCGGTTTGACCTTTCCTATTTGCTTCGCAGAAAGAGGTGTAAACTGGAAAATTAATAAGGTGTATAGATTTTATTTTGAATGCTCTTTAATATTTTTAGATTATAGCCTAGTTACTAATCCAAATATATAACGTGTTTACATAGAAAATCTGTGATTTATACCCATTTTCTTTATAGAATCTTGAGTCCAGGTTAAAAGTAATTTTGCCTGATGACATTGGAGCTGCACTGATGGATGGGGTTGTCCTTTGCCATTTAGCCAATCATATAAGGCCACGATCAGTAGCTAGTATTCATGTACCATCACCAGCAGTGGTAAGTTTTGTGTACAATTTATAACTTTTCTAAAGGAAGATACAGCTTCTTTGAGCTGCTTTTAAATAATCTCAATAAATTCAACTTTCAATTTTGATTTATTTTTGTATATAAATGCCTAAAAATGTTTTTTTTTTTTCTTTATAGCCTAAACTGAGCATGGCAAAATGTCGAAGAAATGTAGAAAATTTTCTTGATGCCTGTAAAAAGCTGGGCGTCTCACAGGTAATTGTGATTTACCTAATAAACTAATCATTAAAATATTAACTTGTTACATGTAGACTGTGATTCTTCATTTTCACAGTAGGAATGGATAATATGTCCTGAATATGAAAACAAATACCTTTCCTTAGGTATTTGGTAAATACCTTTACCTAACCTAAAGTTAGAATACTAAATTCTAACTTTAACTGCAGTAGCTAGCTAATTTTAAACAGCTTTTATAAATAGTTACACATGGAAATATTTTTTGTTGGGGGGGCATTGTCTAATCATACACATCATTGACTAAACATAGCTTAGTGACCATATTATAAATTGATTATGATGCCATTGTTACCATCATTTTGTTTGCTGGAGGATATTTTTACTCTTTCATAAAACCATGAAGAGATGATTGAAAGATTTGCATTCAGTTCAAGGAGTGATTTAAACTTTATTAAAAATGTCAGAGTAGAAATTTAAGTAACATAATATCTATACAGAACAAACTTTGAAATCTGTAGGAACTGGCTTATGTTTCACATAATAATTACAATACTATAAAATTAAGGATTCAAGCAGTATTATGAGTATAAATGACCATGTGTAATCAAAATATTTCTGAAATCAATGTAAGCCTAACCTCAGCATGACTCACTATTGCGAGGATATGGCCCTTTTAGCAGATCACAATTGTGAGTTGTGCTTTTTAAACTCTATTTTGTAGAGTGTAATAATATGGCCTATTCTACTTTCACTTCTTTCCTCAGTGAATAATGTTATTTATTGTATTGAGAATGTGATGAATTACTGTGTAATTTTGGAAAGTGCATGCTTTTCTCCTGTCATTACCTCTTCTTGTGCTTGACAAGAAGAACCCTGGTAGTGCAATTGTTAAGGGCTTGACTGCTAACTGAAAAGTGCATAGTTCAAACCCACCAGCTACTCCACAGGCTGCTGAGTTGGAATTGACTTGAGGGTGCACTCTAGCATGCTTGACAATATGATATTAAAAAATTTTAATTCTTAAAAATTTGTGTGTTCTTTTTTTTGTACTCTTAATGTCTTAGGAAATAGAAGAATGAAGAAAGTTTTACTGCTTTATATACATTTTCCTATTTTGCCATTTTTTGCTTTTAAGAGTTTTGTTTTTAGATTCAGTCTGTTTTCCAGAGTTCATAAATGGTAACATTTAGTCAATTTTTTTCTTCTTTAATTTTTCTTGTTTCCTTTAGAATTTTTTCCTTTTAACCAGCTTTATTGGGATTAATAGACATACACTAAAGTACACATAAAATGTACAATTTGATATGTTTGGAAATGTTTATATAATATGAAATCATCACCACAATCAAGATTGTGAATGTGTCCATTGCTCCTAAAAAGTTTAATCATGCCCCTTTGCAGTCTTTCCCACTCCAGGCAACTGTTAGTCTGCTTTCTGTGATTCTGAAAGAGTTTACATTTTGTAGAGGTTTATATAAATTGAATCATACAATATATACACTTTATTTGTGGCTTCTTTACTCAGCGTTATTGCTGCAAGAGTCATCCATGCTGTTGCATGTATAAATAGTTTATTCCTTATGTATGTACCATTTTTTGGTCCAATGAGCTATTTTCCATTATTGGGGATTACTGCAAATAAAGTAGAGGGTCATTGAAAAAGGGGAAGACCCTCAATGAGATTGATTGGCACAGTGGCTGCAGAGGTGGACTCAACCATAGCAAGGATTTTGAGGATGGCGTATGAGCAGGCAGTGTTTCATTCTGTTGTGCACAGGGTTGCTATGAGTCGAAACAAACTCCATGGCACCTAACAAAGTTGCTGTGAACATTTGTGTATATGTCCTTGTATGGCAATATGCTTTCTTTAATCTTGGGTAAATACCTAGCAGTGGAATGGCTGGAACTTATGATAAGTGTATATTTAACTTTCTGAGAAAGTACAAAAGTATTTTCCAAACTGCTGTGTCATTTTACATTTCTACCAGCAATGGAGGAGAGTTCCAGTTCCTCCTCATCCTCAACAGTTGATACAATCCATTGTAAAGTGAGGAGAGGATTGAAGTAACAAGATTTCAGATAAGGCCAGTTTGTACAATGCTTTTCTTAATATAAGCTTAGAATCTAAACATATTTTAAATTGTAATATTTATATAGGAGCTCTGATGGTGTAGTGCCTGAGGCATTTGACTGCTAACCAGAAGGCTGGAGGTTCAAACCCACCAGCCACTCCTTGGAAGGAAGGCTGGGCAATCTACTTGTGTAGAGATACCACCTCAGAAATTCAAGGAGGGGTCGCTATGAGTCAAATTGACTCGATAGCAGTGAGTTTGGTTTTGGGAGCTCTGGTGGCATAGTGCCTAAGACATTTGACTGCTGACCAGAAGGCTGGTCGTTCAATCCCACCAGCCACTCCTTGGAAGGAAGGTTGGGCAATCTACTTCCATAGTGATACTTTCACTTGAGGTTTTACAGAAAGTGTATTTTAAAAATCTGGTTCTGACCTGTTAATTCATACTGGACTTTTGTTGAATTAAGGTTTTATTGTGCAATCAAAAAGTGAATGCTCAAACATCATTGTTTGTTTTTCAGGACAGACTGTGTTTACCTCATCATATTTTGGAAGAACGAGGTCTTGTGAAAGTTGGTGTCACAGTCCAGGCTCTTCTTGAATTACCTACAACCAAGGCATCTCAGTTGTCTATGGCTTGATAGAAAATTTAAAATCATAAATGTATAGTTTCATTTATTAGAAGTGATTTCAAATATCTCAACTTCATGAATGACTAATCAGAAATAGCTTAATTGGAGATCAAGCCTGTGGGTTTTGAAAAATTATATGTAATATATCAAAATTGAACTTTGAATAGCCCAAACTGATTTTGGGAGGGAGACTGGAGTAATTTAATAAGAGTTTTTGATATATTCAAATTCTCTTTTTCCTGAGTCAGTTCATAACCTTGATTATTTTTTCAAAAGCAGAATGATACTAAATTTAAAAAGTGTTTTCAATTTAATAATCATATTGGGTTTAATTTTTTTACATCGTAGCATACTAGTAAATATCTGGTTAGGGTAATACATTTTTTTGTTGATTTAAAACAATTCTATGTTTGAATCCTTTAATTTATGCTCCTAGTTTAGACACAATTTCTTCAATCTTTGGTCTTAGTTTTCTAGGGAAAAAAAAAACAGAACTCTGGCTTTATATTAAATTCTTTTAGTATTATAGGTTGGTGCCAAAATCTTTTCAGTTGTACTGTAGATTGTTTACATGTGAAGTGCCTGTGTAATTGATGACTCTTATATAGTCTTAAGCATTTTTGCAATTTCTTTTTATGTATTAATAGAGTCAATGGAACTTTAAGATATTTTAGTAGATTTTTATAAGGTCAGTTATATGTGAGGATTAAAATACATCTCACATTGTGGCATTTAGGGTGTTTTTTTTTTTTTTTTTTTAGTCCATTGCAATTTTTTTCATTGGTTATTTCATGTTGTCAACAAAACAATGTTAATATGCTTTATTTATGCTATTTAATTTTGCAAAAGTTAATCTTTTAAAGTGTATTATTTGAAGAGTATTTTATTTCTGTATTGAAATCCTTACACAAAACAGTAAGGTTTTTGAGAACTGGTAAAGTACTGATTATCAAGGATATTTTGATAAAACTGCCAAAGTTTGAGTTTATATGTTGACTTTCAGGAATATTACATCAGTCCTGTTTTTAGCTACATTGAGAGTGCAGCAATTGAGGAATAGGTTTTTATTTAACTTTTGGCCATTTATAGATCCTGTAAATTTCATGATCCTTAATTAACTTAATGTTGAATTAGACACAGACCATTCTATAAATATATTCGTAACTATATTATGTTAGAGAAAGTCCTTTTTTTAATTTACACATGGATAAATTTAAGTTGGTAGTTGTGCCCTAACTTTTCAAAACTTCACTGTAACAAATAACTCAGTTTCCTAAAGAAGAACCTTAATACTTTTGTAGTAGCCAAACAAGTGTCATATCTTAACTATGTGATTGTTTGCACTTATTACCTCCCAATATGGATGCAACTTACTAAGGTTGTTGGCCTGAGTATTTCAAAGGGTGTATATAAAAGGTAAAAACTAGTGTGCCAAATGGTATAGTAAGGTTGGTTTAAGAATAAGTACTTTTTTTTATTAATTGGCATGAAGCCATCTAATTGAATTTGGCTTGACAGTACACATGTGTTTATTATATTTCCGTAAGGTCAAATTGGAGTTTCTAAAGAATTAAAGCTGCTTGTGACTATATGACTGTAAGGTTTAAAAATTAAATTATTAGTTAATTTATTACTTTAAATATTTTGAACCAATTGGCTATTTTTAAGTTGGATCTAAGAAAACCTCATTGATAGAAGCAGTATTCTTTGTGAAAACTTGGGTAATGTAGGTAAGAAATGGCAACTGAATAAATAGTTTTTAGTGTAGAAACTTGACAAAGTTACCTATACAGTGACCATTAAAGCTATGGTCATTCATACTGCTGTCATAGTTATCACACTATAGAATTTCTCTTTTTAGTCCATCTAGATATTAAATATTTTCTAAGTATTTTCTTGTTTCATATCATTGAAATATTAGTGAATTTGTAGGCCACTTCCTTATTGTGTTTCACTTACTTGTCAGATACTATTTTAAAGAGAAAATACACCAGAACCACACTTGTAGCATTCTTAACTGTAAAAGATATTTAAGATTCTTCTGTGGTCCATACCATTGCTGTTTATTTACACTGTGTACTGCAACATCACCTTGAAGGCAGTTTCACAGCACAGTCCCCAGTGGCAATATTATACCAAGGCTCTGATGTATTCCTTTTAGTAGTCTTTAAGTGTAAAAGCTATTCTAAATTTTTTTATGGTTATTATATATTTACTTCATCAGTTATTGAATTAAGAATGATTATAATTATTTGAATTGAATTTGTGATTTGATGATGGTTGAGTAATTGAACTAAAATATTTTATTAGGCCCTAAAAAGTACAGTAAATAGCTACTTCTGTTAAATTTTCTTAATGTATGGCACAAGAATGGTGGTGGATATGTTAGAATTGAAATGAGTAAAAAGACATTACTGTTTGTTTAATAATTATCTTTACAGAATGCTAGTTTAATGACTTTTCTAGCTGAATTTTTTAAAGAATTCAGAAATGTTTGTATTGGTCACAGATCTATCATAATTGATTTTCTGACGCATTTACAAATAAATGGAACACTAAATGTATATTACCGATGGAAACTGTGGATAAAATTGAACAAAAAAATTAAAGTCTAAGATTTCTTTTCTCCCTCTCTGCTTCTTCTCTCAACATCACAGCATCCATTTTTTTGTTGGTATGTCATAGCCTGTATATGTTGTTCCCTAGTGTTGGAAAATAGTCACATTTCTAGGGAATATTTAAAGTGAGACATTTTGAATCCCAACTCTCTTTATACTGTGTTATTTCCAGTAGATAAATAATACTTCCCACAAAACACAATAATTTCCTAGGTGTCACAAAATGATGTCACTTCTATTTATGACAAACTCTATCTAAGATACATGTAAGCTAAATCTTACACAAAATAAAGGGTAGGATAGGTCAATTGTGATTATTTTTTATTCTAGGTTTTGGTGCAAGGTGTATGATTGAAATGGCCTTAAGCTATTTGATTTTAATCATTCCTTTTCAGGTAAGTCTAATTTTTGCAAATAGTCCACATATTTCATTTAAATAACTAGTAATATATTGGTAATTGTGATACATCCTAAAAGTGCAAAGTCATTCAGGTAAATTTTAATAAGATCACATTGCTCCCTGTTTTGTATGTAATGGCCCTAAAGTCTCAGATATAAAGATGTACTTAAGTAAGGAAAATATTTGGTGTAAGTTGTTTGAAAACTGCTTTGTCACAGAAGTTTGAATTGTCTTTAGATAATTGTACTAAGCTTATTCTCCACTTGAGTAAATCCACAATTTTGATACTCTACTTGAAACATTAGAATACTCAGGAACCTATCCCAGAGTCCTCAACACTTCCAGGTACTGAGTTCCCTTTGAAAAGTTACAGTGTATTAGAATAATTTAGAAATGTTCAAATTCAGGTTAGGAAAAATAAATAAATTTGTGTTTACTCCATTAATACGTATTTTGGAAATGTTCAAATACATAAATAGGTGAGAAATATTATTAGGTATGTATATAAGTAAATACATAAATAGAAATTGATTTTTCAGAGAGTAAGTTAAATTTTCTGAAACCCTGTTCATATATCACATAATATAAAGAAATAAAAAATAATGCTGTATAATTTATGAAGTAGTAACTAAAACTACAACTTAGGAAAGTGCTCTGAAACTTAAATATACATATCGATCACTTGGGGATCTTAATATAAAATAGAGATTGGATTCAGTAGTTCTAGGGTAGGGTCACAGGGTCTGCATTTGTAACGAGCTCTCAGATGATGCAGATTCTGTGGGTCCAATGACCCAGCTTCAATACTAACGTTCTAGAGTCATTCTACCTTCATATTACTATCAGTGTACTATGCAATAGCAGTTCAGTATTTTAAGTGGTGCTTCAGGGTACCTAACATCCTTTAATAATTTTTTAATAGGTCTCTACTCTGAAATGTATTCTGCTTCATTAAGAGCTTTGGGATTTTCTCCATGGTTTTAAAAAGTGTGCTTTATGCTCTGATGAATTGTTGTTGTTATGTGCCGTCGAGTCGGACCCGACTCATAGCGACCCCTCCTTGGGTTTCCGAGGCAGTGTCACTATGGAAGTAGATTGCCCCACCTTCCTTCCGAGGAGTGGCTGGTGGGTTTGAACCACCAGCCTTCTGGTTACCAGTCAAGTGCCTTAGGTACTACGCCACCAGAGCTCCCATGCTCTGATGAATAGTATTTCAATTTTTTATTTCCTTTTAAAGTCTATTTTGAGGGGGAGTAGCAGTTCAGTGATAAAATTGTCCTCTTCCATGTGGAAGACTTGGGTTCTGTTCCCAGCTGATTCCCTCATACACAGCCACCACCCATCTGTCAGTAAAAGCGTCTGTGTTGCTATGATGATGATGGAGTTTCAGCGGAGCCTCAAGACTAAGACGAACTAGGAAAAAAGGCCTGGGTATTCTGCTCCTGTAAAATCCACCAACACAAGCCCTTTGGATAGCAATGATCTGATCCCATCATACATGAAGTGCCCTGAGGTGGAGACTGACTCGGGGGCATCTGACAACAGCAACAAAGTCTCTTTTAAACACATATGATTATAAAATGGTCATATATATCCAAACAAGCTAATATGAATGTTAAAATTAGTAAGTATTAAAGCATAACACCTTACTCTTTTGGAATGCTTTAGAAAACTGCAGGTTCTTTTTTTTAAAAAAATCATGTCCATGTCAATCCATTCTACTTCTCAAAACCTCACTGCTGTCAAGTTGATTCCAACTCATAGTGACCCCTCCTTGGGTTTTCGAGGCAGTATCTCTATGGACGTAGATTGCCCAGTCTTCCAAAGAGTGGCTGGTGGGTTTGAACCGCCAGCCTTCTGGTTAGCAGTCAAATGCCTTAGGCACTACATCATCAGAGCTCCCTTGTTATGTAGCAAATCTCTGCTTGGTTTTAAGTTAAAAGGGTACTTATTCTTTCAGCTTCCATGATAAATGTAAAATTTGGGGACAT